TCCCAAAGCGACTGATCTTAGTGCGGCATGGCGAGTCCGAGGGCAATATCGACCCGTCGCTGTATGGACACGTGCCGGACAATGCCATGCACTTGTGCGCTCGGCTATGAACAGGCCATGTAATTGGTCACTCAATCCGGAAAATTGTCTGGGCACGAGACGATGGTACGTCCGTGAACGTGGCAGTGCGCGACCATAATACTTGCCTTCGATAGCGTTCGAGTTACGGTACTGTATGCGGATCAGAAGGGTTTTGTGTGTGTGTGTTTTTGCGGCTGAGTCCCTAATTGGTCGTTGCTGGTGTCAGAGGTTTATTGTATCGCCGTATGTGCGCACAATCGAGACGTTTGGCGGCATCCTCAAGGCTCTGGACTTTCAAAGGCCAGTTCGTGCCATGGACCGAAGAGCCGCGGATCCGAGAACAGGACTTGGCAATTTCCAGGAACCGGTGAAGATTCGCGAGTGCAAGGCCCAGCGCCGACGATTTGGGTCGTTTTTCTACGGTTTCCAAGCGGAGAGTCGCCTGCCGACGTGTACGACCGCGTGTCGTCGTTCCTCGAGTCGCTCTACCACATCGTTTGAAAAGTCGTCCGAGGGAGAACTACGTGCTCGTGACGCACGGCGTGGCGATCCGCGTGATCCTCACGCGCTACTTCAAGTACCGCATCAGCAGTTTGAGGCTGCTCGAGAACTTCCACAATGGCGAGTATGTCGTGCTCGAGTTCGATGAAAGCGTCAGGGGCAAGCTCGTGCTCAAGACCATCGTGTCGAATGACGTGCACCTTTTTCCGGACGGCGGTGTGGCGGATGCAAACAAGCGAGACCACACAGCTGCGGACCCGCTCGAGCGACACGCTGTCGAACCTGTCTGGACTGAGTTCAACGTCACCGACCGGTCACGAGCGATACCCGCCACCGCCAATGGCAAGCACGCTGTCATTTTTACAGCACACACGTCGCCTCCGCTGTCAATTACGTCCAAGTGTGTCGATGCCTCGTCGCTCGCCAAGTCGCGCCTGACAACTACTGAGGTGCCACCACAATAAAGTCGGCCGTATGCCACACCATGTGTCACGTCGTTTTCACGCACCCAATAGAGTCGTTGACGCGTGGGTCCACTTTATACGCCACGCATTGCGTTTTACAAAACGGTGTATGCTGTTGTCACCACGATTTCCCGGCGGTAATCTATTCATGCGCTTCCATAGGTTCCTACGTCCGCCACGTGTAGTCAGTCGTAAGTTACCGCTACAACGTGAACCCATTCGACAATAATGTCGGCGTCAGTGCTCCAGGAGCTCCCGAGCGACCTCCCGACGTACCTCCTGCGCCTCTCGCTGATCGCAGCCCCGAGCTACACGGCCGTTGTGCTGCTGATCCCCGTCGTCTGCCGCCACGTTCTGCCCGCCTGGTTGTCGGGCAAAGACCTGTGCAAACGCGGCACACCCGCCGGAGATATCCCAATGTATGTGCACTGCTATCTGACTGAAAAGCACGGCCTCCTTTTGGTGCATACAAAAGGCGAATGAAACGTAATTGGTTGGCTGTCGTGGCTCGTGTTGCGTGCAGTCCCGAAGCTCTCGGCATCGTCTCGGGCGCCGTCTACATCCTCTCGTTGGTCGTCACAGTGCTCACGGTCGTGGACGATCCCGATGTGAAGCGCATGATGACGTGGGGCATCGTCAGCATCCTGTCCATGATCGTGCTGGGCTTTGCCGACGACCTGTCGGACCTTCGCTGGCGTCACAAGCTGCTGTTCCCGCCGCTGGCGTCGCTGCCACTGCTGCTCCACTACCCCGGCCTCACGGCTGTCGTGCTGCCCAAGCCCGTGCGCTTTTTGTTCGCAGACGACACGGCGCTGCACACAGTGCTTCGTCCTGTGGTGACGCTCAGTCCAGGCGGCGAGATCGCTGAGCTTGGGCTCTTGTACTACTTGTACATGGGCATGATGGCGGTCTTTTGCACAAACGCAATCAACATTTACGCGGGCGTGAACGGCCTCGAGGCCGGGCAGTCGTTCGTGATTGGCGCGGCTGTGGTCGTGCAGAATGTGTACCAGATCGTGCTCGGCCACGACAACGAGAACTTCCACTACCTCTCGCTCATGTTTATGGTCCCGTACCTGGCAACGACGCTCGGCCTGTTGAAGCACAACTGGTACCCGTCGCGCGTCTTTGTTGGGGACACGTTTTGCTACTACGCTGGCATCACCTTTGCCGTGTGTGGCATCTTGGGCCACTTCAGCAAGACGCTCCTGCTTTTCTTCTTGCCACAGGTCCTCAACTTCCTGTACTCGATCCCGCAGCTGTTCAAGATCGTGCCATGTCCACGGCACCGACTGCCAAAGTTCAACGCCAAGACGGGTCTCTTGGAGCCGTCGACCATCACGCCTGACTCCACTCGGTCCAACTACACGATCATCAATCTCTTTCTCGTCGTGTTTGGACCCATGAAGGAAGACCATCTCGTCATGGCGCTGCTTGCGTTCCAAGCCCTGTGCTGCGGTCTGGCTTTTTACATTCGCTACGGGATCAGCGGCTACTTCTACGACTTTGTGCAGTAGATGGAAACGCCACAGCGGGTGTATTCAGTGTTGGCTAATTTTACCACGCTCTTGCAGCAAGCAAGCATTTACGTCGGCAGTCCAGAAGCCAATAGCTGCATTGGTGCGCTCATGTATTGATCCATCCTCCGCGTGTCTCCACACGTGTCTTCCCAGACTACCAAATCGTCTGCGATGCCGGTGTGATCACATCATCCCGCGCTTTCAAAATCGTCTTCTTTGGCGCTTGCGTCTTGTTCGGCATGGACAAAGACGTTGATGGAAATGCGTCGTTGGCCTTGCCACTTGCAGCATCCGTAGCGTCAATGCTTTTCCTCGCGTTCTTCTCCAGCAGTTTGCTCCGGGCAGTGCAAAACAGGTCAACTACGGGAGTGTGCTGGCTGAAATGCATCAACCGAGGCTTTCCAAACGTGACGCGCCCAACAGCCACGCCGTCGTCTTCCCCTTCTGCGTCATCGTCTTGATGCTTCCGCACCGAGTCTTCATAGTCACGATTGAGCTTTGCTGCCAGAGACTCAATCACTTGAGTCTGACGGACAGGGCGACGCATATCCTCCGAGCCGAGAGAATTGAACTGCGGCAAATACACCACAACTTCTTCGCTCGGGTCTTGCTGAGGTTCTGCACTTGTGTTTGCCCCCGTTCGCATAGCTTCCAGTCGCGCCGTCTCCTTTTGTCGCGGAGTCGACTTTGAAGCTGAGTGCGCGGCCACATGCACCTTGCCATCCGTCCGCGCCCGTCGGATTTGGGCCTGTTGGTCCAAGACCAAGTCCCGCGCCGACCGATGAAACGAGCGATTCATTGCCGTTCTCGACCATTTCTGAATGACCCAGTGCGCCAGATCGCCAAACACCACGCCCAGATAGCTCGTGTGGCTGAGCTTCTCGATCCCTCGCAGCGTGCGTGCAATGTTCGTCTTGCGCAAGTGCTCTTCCTTCACGCCCGGCAGCACGGCCAAAACCTGCGCAGCCACGCACACCCAGAGATCTCAGCTACACAATCCACTCCACCCCACGCCAACCCATCACTGGCATTCGAGTGCCTCGTAAACCTCTCCGTCGCCACGCACAACGCACCTTCAAGATCAGCAACGCCGCTGACTGTGTCTTCTCGACACGGATCCAAATGCCCAGCATCTTCTCAAGTGCATTCAGTCCATCAGCTTCGACAAACGCTTCGAGCGCGCGCTTCGCCTGCCATCAAATCAACAAAAGACCACAACGACCACAAAAAAACAAATGAGCTCGACAAAAGACCACACACACGGCAGCAGCCACAGACGCCTCGACTTCATAGCCCCAGCCAGCCAGACACCAACAAGACAAACAACAGCAACAACACACACCCACACAGCAATAGCAATCGCAATAGCGGCGACTATAGCAGTCAGTGCCTCGTACCTGAAGGTCCTTGTTGTGCATTACGACCTTCTGCTTGTCCGACCAGCACTTGGCCATTGTCTTCTGATGCAGAACGATCCGCAGCACTTCTCGACACACAGCGTACGCCGCTTTACGACTGTCGAACTTTTGCGTCCGCAGCGGTCGGTCCGTTGCTCGACATGCGGTCTCAGGTGGCGGCACGGTGCGCTGCTTGTTCTTCGTGGTCGCCATCGTCGCCGACTCAGACTCAGATTTGGCATCTGAGTCGGCCGCCTGCTCGGCGTATTGCTGCACTTCGTCGCGCGTCAGGTCGGCAAACAGACCGTCTGAGAAGAGCACACGGAAGCGCTTGAGGTCGGCAAAGTACTGCGTCACTTGTCCGGAGCTCGTGAGCCGTTTGCCGTCGTAGCTCGTCGACGTCCGCGTCACGGTGAGGCCGAGCAACTGATTCGGATCTGAGTCGGCGGCACCACTGCTCGTTGCGTCGTTTACTGTCGCTGAGTCCTCGATCGCCTCAGAGGAGGAGGAGACAGCGGCCGACGGGATCAGAAACGCTTCGGTCTGATCGGCCGGGAGCTCGTCTCGGTGGCCGTCGTGGTACACGAGCGCGTAGAGTCCCGTGTGGGCGTCGAAGGCCTCGATGCGCCCTGTGCGGCCTTCCACGGGGTTGGCCACGCGCGCGCCGAGAGGGAAGCGCTGGGGCGACTGCATGGGCTGAGACATGAGTATTGAGAGAGAAAAATGGGCAGCGATGATTGATGGGGGGGACTGCACAACAACTAGAAGAATCGACGGACACTCTCACTACAGTCAGTAGCAGAGAGAGTATCAGAAGGAGGAGATGTGGGTTTTATTTGGGTACGTTTAGTGCTCGCAGGGTGGGCGAAACGCTAAAACAGTACACGACTTCTTCGTCCGCCGCTCTCGGACGCGTCGTAAAATCTACTGCATTACGGTTCAACTCTATGCGTCACGGACCTGTACCATGCACTTGACGGGTATTAATTGCCTACATTTCGCACATTTATTGACATGGCTACAGAGCTCATGAACGCCACTCCGATACGTGCATAGCGTTCCTTCCTTGCAAGTAGCGTTGTCGTAACTTGTTCGTTAGTATGTGATGCGTAGACGCGTGCGATCGATTGCACTCGCGTCGAACGGATATGCACCGGGCGCGAGGCCGTGGGCAGCTGACGCACGGGGAAGACGGACTTCTGTCAGGTACACCCCACAGAGCACACCGCCTGTTGTGCACCCCACAATAACATCGATCCACTCGCTGTTGTTGTTGTTGTTGTTGTTCGCCCGTTGCACTGCCATTGACTTCGGTATATCTGTCATTGACTTTGGTGTATCTGCGGGGAAAGCGCACGTAGCGCACGTGTTGCAAGTGGCGCGCCATGAACCGCTTGAGTGGCTGATAGACGTCTCGACAGTGTTGACGCAGTAGGAACTCGTACTCGGCTGGACGGAACTGCGGGTTCAATGGCCCGTCAATCATACTGAGGGCATTGGCGTCGCAAAAGACGCAATGGGTCGCGTCACCAGCGACGTCGACGTGAATCCCATTCCAATGGGCTTCGACCATTGACGTTGTTGCAGTTGTTGCCGTTGCAGTTGTGGTACCCATCGATGGCTCCTCCATCGCGGCAAGTGCGAGGACAACGGGTTGGAGTACGCCATACTGTCGACGTGCGAAGCTGCGGTCTAACTGCAGGACCCGAAAGCAATGTGGCCGGATGCCTTTGTGCACCACGCACAGGGCTTCTAACAAGTGGCGACGTGTTGGCAGCGACAGGTCATTGGTTGACGGAGTTCTGCAGCTGAGGTAGGAGTGACTGCACCTGTAGCCGTCGAGATGGTCGAGGGGACTGTTCCAAAGAACGAGTCGAGTCCAGTCGCGCATGCAGCCGGAACCGACTTGCGCCTCTTGTTCTTCGCGAGCGTAGAACGTCGCCAGTCCTTGAGCTGCAACGGCATCGCACACGTCTTGCGAGAGCAACGGACTGCAATGGGTCAGAAGACGTAGTACGTCTTCCGGCGGCAAGAAAGCCGTGAAAGCCGATGGTAACAGCGCTACAATGTCCGACAACAACGGATGCGTTTGTTGCCTCGACTCGATCCGTAGTCTCTTGATCGATAAGGTGTTGTTGGTGTTGTTGTTGTTGTTGTTGTTGTTGGTCATGGCTGGGGATACGGTAAATGCCCACGCAGACACTCGCGTGAGGCCATTCGCTGCTGACGTTGAAGTGAACACGTCAGTGTGCAATGTTCTAGAACGTCGCACGCTTCGGATGCGACGACATACTTGAGAAAATGCAGCAACTCGTAGGCGCACATCCTGTGTGAGAGAGCTGTCCAGAAGGTCGAGGAGAAGCCATGTTGCGTACTTCTGTATGCTTCGTATCTGGAAACGCTACGTGGCTATCGAACTCGTTGCGCAGCCTACTACTTGCACTGTCACCTCTGGTAGCTGCTGCATGATGTACCTCATGAGGTGCTCGATAGAATAAGTCTCGATGCAAGCGGCTCTTGGTGCCTGTCATGTCAAGAAGCAGTTGACCACTACAGACCTCGGCAAGCGCGAGAGGCTCGGCAGCAGACGCGATGATACATCGTGCGACGTCTGCAACGGCATTGGCCTTTGCCTTCAACACGACACTTTCCTCATACCGCGTGACATGTCTTCCAAGTTGACATCGCGCTCGACTACGAACGAGGCCAAATGCTGACACGCGGACTTCACTTTACGTCGTGCTGCTCTTCACAGCCCATCGTTACTTGACAGTACACTTCACGCTTGACAATGGCACAGATCGGTACGATTTTTCCATGATACCCACTACCTTTGGCTTCCTGGATAACCGCATACACTGAGATTGAGCTGGTACCGTCGAACCAAAGGTGTTGTTGGGAACGCATCCGGGGCTTTATTTATCTCGTTGGTCTATGAACAGAACGAGCTACAGTCTAGTTATGGGCTGTCGTCTTAGGCGGTAGGTGCAGTCTGAGTGGAATCGAGGTCCTCGCATCCAGGAACGACAGTTTAAGAGGTCTGTCACCTGTACAACAAGCAGCTACACTCAACGTATCGTAGGCAAAGGACGTCTGTCTATGCTGTAGACTCGAATCGAGAATGCTCATCCGATACTTGCAATCGCGACTGTTATTGGAGCTGGACCCTTGACTATCGGTACTCTCATCACTTGTTCACGTGTGTCGGTCTGCACGATATGCCCCACGATGTTCTTTGTAGCTTACGCTCATTCCACAGCTACAACAGCATCGATATCAACCTGTCATGATCACGACGTTTGCCTCGCAAACACAACTTTGTACGTTGGCCACGACGATGCAATCTCGAGCAGATAGGTATTCCAGCCATGCCCCCTGAGCGGCGTAGCCTTCCGAGATGGCATGTCGTCAACAGCGTGAGCTCACGTGTAGTGCGTGGATGAACGCGAGCTATGCTAAGCTGCCAGCTCCATGTGCCACATGTGGACATCAGGAGGTCATCTGCTTGACCATGTACGGCTGCACCGGCACGACGGGACCCAAAACCTCCTTCCAAGCTGCATTCGCGTCCAGACGGCCCAAAAAGATGCTAGGTCCAACCTGTTTACTAATTTGTGCGACACAGTCACGTGCAGCGAACGTCGCGAGACGGCTTGTGCCTTGGAGCGTGAAGACCAGAGGATCAAAGAATAGCTCGAGGTACCGCTTGAACACTTTCTTGCCCAGCGCCTCGCACATAATTGGCAGTTGTTTCCAAATTGTTTCCTGCAACACGGCTGTCTGAGGGAAATGACGAAGAATTGCGATATCTGCGACTTGCGGGAGATACTTCACAGCAAGGTCGGGAGCCACACTGCACAGCTCGCGCACCATGTAAATGGCACCGTCGGTGTACTCCCACGGTTCCTTGCTACGGTGCTCGTGACGTTCAAACAGTTTAGGTTCCAGCGAGCAGCAAGAGAACGCCTGCTTACTCAGATGCTGCTTTTCCGAGCGCATCAACTCGTCGTACTCTAACTGCGTCATGGCTGGCTGCTTCTCCGCCAGCGGCAAGTACTCTTCCGTGACCTTGATCACGCGGTCGAGCGCTTCTTGGCCGTATGCACGGATCACATTACCAAGAGCAATAGCAGCGTCTTCACGTACAGACCAAATGTCATCCGAGAGATGATCAATCCACAACTGATACAACTCGTTCAGGAACGGACGGCATTCTTCTGGAAAACCAAGCACAAGCTGCGCCGACGCCAGGCACGCCGCATCGCGCACCAAATTCGATACATCGTAGAAGCAAATGAGCAGAGCCTGCATAAGTCGGCCAACGTGCGGGCGAATCGCTGCTGGATCGACCTTCATTCCGAGCTCAGCAATGCACTGGCACGCCGACTCGCGGACACAGTGGCTCGTCATCTCCACGTAATAGTCCACAATCTCGTTGGCATACGTGGCGACCAACTCGCGCCCATGGGTACCCACAATGAGTTCCCACGACTCTTGCGAGTACTTTTGCACCCGCTCGGCAATGTAGTAGCGGTTGAGACACAATCTCGGGAGCAAAATGGGCAAATACGCTTTCCGTCCCTCATCTTGTAGCTTCAGCAGAAACGTGCGCGCTGCAATCGATGCAGCGTAGCGCACTTGGCACCAATTGTCCTCGAGGCCGCGCTTGATGCACTTGTTCAAGATATCGCTCACGCTCGAGCGATGGGCTTCGAGAAACCCTACTGGTGCAATGTCCGCGAGCACGTTGACCGTGTCAAGTCCCACGACGCGCACGTGGCGATTGATGTGGAAACAGCTCTTGGTCGCGACCAGCGCTACGAGCGGCGGCGTCAAGTAGACAAACGCGTGCTCCGCGTCTGTCTCTCCGACTGGTGCTTGGGTCGTCTCCAGGAACGCTCGTCCACTGGCTTTGATCACGTACTTGAGCGCGCACAACGAACTCTCGAGGGCTTTCCAGCCACTCACGTCGTCGAGTCGATACGGCGTCGATGGCGTCCGTGGCGTCGTCTCCTGACTGGGCGACAGCGGCGGCGTCGTCATGCCATTGGTGCTCACGTTGTCGTCCAGCTCGTCGAATCCCGTGTCTTCAAACTCGGGCGAGCGGCTGAGGTTCGACTCGATCGACTCCACGAGGTGCGGCAGGAACGTCTGGGCGACCCACGCGAGGTCCCACTTGGCCAGCGCTCCGAGCAACGTGGCAATGGCCATGCGCACGCGTGGCTCATAGTACTCCAAGTACTGATGGATCGGGTGCGTGACAATTTGCGTCACAAAAGTATCCGATAGCGTCGTGGTGACAAAACGCGGTGCGTTCACTTGCAGCGCTTGGCCGTAAAAAACCTCGTCCTGAGGTTTAGGCTCGTCCGGATACGCGTCGACGGACCGACCCACAATATCCCGCACGACGACAAAAAACACCGCCAGCGGTTCCCAGCGCTCGCGGCCATACAAAAGTAACGTCTGCAGCTCCTCCTGCAGCAACTCGCGGCGCGTCGTGTCGTCTATGCACGCAGGTGCGACGTCCGAGGGGAAGAGGAGATGCGAAATGGCCTGCGCTGTCTCGATGGCGCCTTGTGGGACTTTCGGCCGGTGCTTGAGTGTGCGCAAGGCGCTCTCGGCGCTGGAGAGCTCCATGACGACGCACGTGGGTCTTTTTCAGGGTCAGTCGATGGCTTGATGGGATGAAGGGACGCTGTCTTTTGGGTTTCTATTTCTAACCAGCGATGAAAAGGATCACGATGGCAGGGGTGTCTGAGACACGAAAGGATTGTTTTTCATCGCGTCTGACGATTTAGTCGATCTAAAGAGATAAAAACGAGATGGCGAGATGTTCTTCTAGCAACGCGCCCTAATTGGGCACCCTCCCACACCGAAATACGGCTCACCCTAATCGAGACTCAGATGACTCTCTGATTGAGTGCTCTCCTATTCTTCTACCATTTCGGAACCAAGTACCGCACACGACCGAATACATCTCAATACATCATCGTTACCGCATAAGTGGTAGCTCACGTTGCATGGCAGCACGAGAACGCAGTCATCGTTACGAGCAACACGAGCTAGGTAACCTTGTTCTACTACACGCTCATTTAAGACACCTCACATTCTTGGATCATAGCTGAAAAGGTTCTCGACAATGACGAAGACTTTTCCGCCCGCTCACCGTTGTACGCACATCTTCCAACGTCGTTCCTTTCCGCCCTAAATGGTGAAACGATTGTGACCGAACTTGATTTCGGACAGGTGTGTGCGAGTCTGCAGCTTCACAACCCTTGTGTTCACATCGAATGTAAACGAGTGAGGACGAAAGGTGGCAAGACGATCTTGCAAACACTTATGGATGATGCTTTTGCTTTATTATATTGCAGTACCATCCACCTCGTCCTGGTAGACGTTGTACAGTCACACTGCAAAGGTAATGTAAAGCCTGAGACGGGTGTTTCATTCGGTTCAGTGTTCCCTCCGTCCAAGATCCCCGGCAATTCTTGTGCTTGCTGTTGTGGACGCAAGCGAGCCAAGCTTTGCGAGTTTGTCGTTTCTCTTACGCTTCTTCGTCTAAATACGCAGCAATGCATCACTTTGCAGTCGCACATGTGCAACGGCAGCATCTTTGACCATTTCAAGAAGTGAATAGTGGCCTTGTGGGATAGTTCGTGGCAGCAGCCCACCTACGTAGTGTTGTACGTCGTCGTACCCGACCAGATAATTCCGCATTAGTTACATAGAACGTGGAAGAAGACGATATTACAGAGGAGCATGTGCCGCATAGGGTAAGTCACATCGTTCAATTGGGGCCTTATCGCGGGTCGATTCGATGGGCAATCAGGGGCGACGAACTGCAATAACGAATGCAATTCGAGTTGACCGCCGCCGTCGCACTTTACTTTGTTCCCTTGTCAATAGCAAAATGGGCGCAGTAGACCCGGGCAAAGCAAGTTGCTATGCAGGAGGAGTGCTGCTGGGAATAGGCTGGTGGATCATGGCAGACGGGGCAGCCTCTGCGGCCTACCACAACTCGCACATCTCTTTCGACGCGGTGAAGTACCTGCCCGGCATTGTCGCTACACTCGCATTCTTCCTGTGGGTACACATTAGTAGCAGTAGTTAGTCATGCGATGTGTAGACATAGTGTGGTATTGCAACAAATGACAAAAGGGGCCCAGTGCAGTGATCTCAGCGGACTGATCTGCTGTTCATTGCTATAGAGTCAATACAGTGGACTGGAACATGCTGTCAGAAGACGCTCGCTTTACCTATGGCTCAGAAGTAGCCACTCGCGCTCGGTTCGTGGCCTGTCCATTGCAGCTATAGCACTATACTTGACGTCTTTCGATTGTCTCCGATCTGACGTCCACCTGCTGTCGTACTGTAGATGCTTCGTGGTGCTTTGCATGGCTGTGTCAGTGGCTGCACTGGTAAGTTCCGTGCTCGTGTTCACGCACGCGTATGTGGGCAACGAGTACAAGGAGTCGACGTGGCCGGGCGTTGCGATCGTGATACAGAACGGGCTCATCGTTATGGGTACTTTCGTCATGAGAGCTGGTACGATCGCTGCAGCATCGACGTACTAGGGTTGCAAACGCTGGTTGCTATCGCGCTCGGCTATCTGGAGCCCCACGGGGAGCAGATGCAGTGGTCGTCAATGGACGAGCAAGTTTCGGAGACACTCAGTCAGGTTTTCGGGACACAATTGAATTGTTCGATGTGATATGGTGTATATGCCGTCGATACTATGTCGATCAGAGCAGGCTGAATACTGCGTGTGGACCGACGCTAACAGCGAGCGCTTTAGTCGTGCAGAGAATAGCGATAAGCAGTAGTAAGGCGCACAAAAATGGAGCTATGTTACTCATCTGACTAGAGCGTCTACTGTTCCTATCGAGTGTGTGTTAGCAAAGTACTCTTCTCCTTCGTTTTGCACGTTGACCATCTGCACCAGACGACGTCAACCAGAGGATACGAAGCGGGTGCGACGCAAAGCCACTTGTTCGGGACCGTGTCCATGTCGGTGCGGCGCAGACACTGACAGGCTTGCGAGCGAATAGCAAATAAAGTGACCATTGGGCGAGATTGCTATACCACTTGCGTCACTCCTGCCATTACTGCACTTTGTACGCGTTGCGAACGCAGAGACCTTTACGAGGCAGACCTCTCTTTTTCTATCGTCCTTAAGCCCTTCTGATCGGTCTTTCAGTCATCGCACTGGTCATGTGTCAGCAATTGTGTTGAGGTCACATACGCAGATGCAGGCGATAGAGTCGCTGAACATCAAGTCGGACTTGCGCTGGTCCCACGTGCCATAAAGAGCTCAAGCGGTCCGCACAGGTTGAGGCGGCGATCCAACTCTGGTCAGTGATTGGCTCGCGCGGTTGAAGTCGTGTATTAATTTAAACATCCACCCGATCTAATCCATTTTATAATCGAATCGCGTCGTGTAAGTTGATGTCGGCCATGATTTTCGAACGCTTTCCTCCTCTCCCGCGCGTCACGCAGCCCGTCTGCCCATTGTCCGTCACGTCTCAACGCGACAGCCCAACTCGATTCAACCGCCCGACTCCACCGCTGCGCTTCGATTGCGAGCACCGCTGCGTCCACTCGACGGGTGGCGTTGCCCGCAATGCATTTTAGCCACTCACCACAATCACTTCTCCTGTCGCTCGGTGATTGGTCAACCGCAGCTTCTCGAACGTCCCCGAACGTCGCCTGCAGTGACCGCTCTCGCCAGTCATTCGCACTTTTTCATCGGCGGCCAGTTCACTCTCATAATTAATACCCAACACCCGCCCCACCTCATCATGACCGATGTACGCCCACCCCACTCCACTGCCCGCGTTGTTTCTGCTTGTTCCCCCCCACTAACTATACTCCCCTCTCTCTCTCTGTATGTATGTCTCTCTCTGCTCTATAGCCCACCGCTGCCGACTGGAAGGCCAAAGGCAACGCAGCGCTCAGCAGCGGCCGCGCCCAAGAGGCCGTCGACTGCTACACGAACGCCATAGCCCTCGACCCGAGCGATCACGTGTTCTACTCGAACCGCTCGGCCGCTTACCTGTCGCTGGACGACGCCGTCCACGCGCTCGACGACGCCGCGTCGTGCATTGCGGCCAAACCCGACTGGGCCAAAGGCTACAGCCGCAAAGGCGCTGCGCTGCACGCGCTCAGGCGCTACGACGAGGCCGTGGCCGCATACCAAGAGGGCCTGAAGCTGGACAAGGACAATGCCGCGTGTCGCAGCGGGCTCGACGAGGTGGAAAAAGCACAGGCTCAAGCACAAGCAGCAGATGCAGCAGCACGTGGCCAGTCGTTTAACCCGCTGGCCAATGCCTTTGGCCCCGACCTGTTTGGCAAGATGGCGACCAACCCGCGACTGTCGCCGCTGCTGAGCGACGCGGCGTTTGTCCAGACGCTGCAGGCGATCCAGCGCGATCCGTCCACGATGAGTGAGCACTTGAAGGACCCGCGCGTGTTGACAGTGCTGGGTGAGCTCATGGGGCTCAATGTGAACATGGGCGGCAGTGAAGAGGCCATGGATGAGGACATGTCTGCTGCTGGTGCTGCACCAACAGCAGCAGCCGAGCCGCAGACGACAATGGACTCGGACCCCAGTCCAATGGAGGACGACTTGACGGACGAGGAGAAGACGGAGCGAGCGAGGAAACGCGCTGCGGAAGACGCCAAGCAACGCGGCAATGCGTTGTACAAGCAGAAGCAGTTCTCCGAAGCTATTGCGTGCTACCAGGAAGCGATTGACCAGGACGCCAACAACATGTCGTACTATAGCAACTTGGCTGCGGTCAAGCTGGAGATGGGACAGTATGACGCCTGCATTGAAGACTGCAAGTACGTTACAAGGAGGAGTGTTGCACGAGGGATGCGTTGCAATGCTGCAATAGTAGTGGTTGCTGATGCCAAACGTATTGTATTGCTCTGCCGCTGCTGTTGATGATGATGGTAGGAAGGCGATTGAAGTGGGGCGCGCCAATCGTGCCGACTATGCGCTGATTGCCAAGGCGTACGTGCGTATTGGCAACGCGTGCGTGAAGAAGGGCGAGACAGAGGAAAACTTGACCGCAGCTATCGAATCGTACGAAGGCGCGCAGATGGAGAACCGCTCCAAGACAGTCGAGCGCACAATCAAGGCGCTGCAGACGAAGCTGCGCAAGGCCAGGGAGCTAGCGTACATTGACCTTGACAAGGCGCTTGCAGCAAAGAATGAAGGCAACGAGTTTTTCAAGAATGGCGAGTTTCCTCAAGCCGTGGAGCGCTACACGGAGGCTATCAAGCGCGACCCGTCGTGTGCCGTGTATTACGCCAACCGCGCGGCGGCGTACACGAAGCTGACGTCGTTCAACGAGGCAAAGAAGGATTGCGAGAAGGCCATTGAGCTTGACCCCCAGTATGTGAAGGCGTACTCGCGCATGGGTGCGATTCAGTGCTTCATGAAGGAATTCCACAAGGCTCGCGAAAGCTACGAGAAGGGTTTATCACTGGACCCGAATCACCAAGAGTGTCTCGACGGTCTGCGAACAGTCATTAACAAAATTCAAAGCGGAGAAACGGACGAAGAGCGTGCGCGGCACGGAATGGCAGATCCGGAGATACACGCGATTTTGCGCGACCCGGTGATGCAGAAC